TTTGTTGTACATCTTAATAATATTATACAGTAATTACTATGTGTATTTTGGAAAAGAATATATTAAAATTTGTACATTTTAAGTGTTGTTTCGTTCAAAATATGCGTTCGAAACTATCAGTTCTATTCTGCATATCCTCACACGTGGTATTAGGGATTATCGTTAATTGTCAAATTTGCTAAAGATTAAGGATATGCCTTATATTAAGTTGAACCCGTCACACCCCTTTAGTATTGAATTGACGGTAGTACAAAAACACATGCGAACGCAACCTATTCAAATATAGTGGATTTCTACTTCAATTATCTATCTACAGCAGCCAGCTATTGGAGTACAGGTGTAAACTAAAGTACTTCGAACCTACATATTGCAACCTACATATTGCTATCTACATATTGCTACCTATATATCGCTACAATATCTACGCTACACAATCTACCGCTACCTGATCTAAAGGCTAACCTATCAACTATCGCTACCATATCCATTAGATTGGCGTAGCAAATTGCTACCAAGAAACGTTTCGTGACTGTATGATTGTATTTAAATAAAGTTTTGTGTGTTAATTTATCAACGCCTGTTGAGTTTGAATAACGCTTGTACTGTTGCAACCCCTGTGGCTCCCTATTTGGCAACCAGGAGTTACAACCCCCACTCTAACCTCTAACCCTGGTTTAATCTTAATATGGCTCTAATCTAATCCCAATCTAAAAATGACTACCTTTTTTTAATATTCCCGCCCCTGCGCGTCCAGCCTCCCTAATACTACGTGTGATGATCGAGGATATGTTGCATTATTAGTCTTGAAAGGTCAAGGAGAGTACTATATAGAGGATGTTAGACGGCGCAGTGTACTACAATACTTCATGTGAACTCGTCATATGCGCATCGCTGTTTTTTACAAAGAAACGGCTGGGTACGGAGACAGGGTGTAGTATGCGATAGCAGACTGATCAGCACTGCCTCATTCTCGTACCCAGAGCCCTTCTTACGCTCTGCCTCTGAGATTAGTCTGCTGTTTCTCCGCACCTCCAGTGGGGGAGGGGGGCCGGGGGCGGCTACGGCGGTGCGAAGATATAAATTTTAATTTTTGAGTGAGTAAAAAATATTGTTTTCAGTTTTCATTACGGGCTGTATGGCTTGCAGAGGAGGTAGTGAGTGTGCTGTTCAATATCTGTAACTTGTAGGTAATCTGCAACTCAAAATTACCACAAGGTGTTGTGGAAGCACAACCGACAAAAAGGTTACTGAGCATTTCCGATCGCGCACGACCACAAGGCCTACGTACAGCTGCGGTAAACAATGGTTTAAGATAAAATTCCCCCATATAATAAGTGTAAATTTGCTTCTGGCTCGCTCGCTCCGCAGCAAAAAAGGTTGGGTGAAATACAATTGTCAGTTTCCCGAAAAGTAAAGAAAAATATCTAACTCGAAGTTTAACTCGAAGTCCAACTCGAAGTCCAACTCGAACTAGAACTCGAACTCGAATCCAACTCGATGTTACCTAACTCCCATATTTTTCAGGGAGGTCGCGTAATTTTGAAAACGAGCGTATAAATTATTTGCGAGAAATATGCGAAATGAATACTATAATCCAATAACGATTTTTAGAAACTTCCTCGTACGACAACAATACTGGGTTATGAAATTTAAATTTATTGTAATTTATATGCACAACATTCACAACACCACCTTTGATGTTTTGATGGCCTGCGAGAGTTTCCCCGTTTAATAGACTTAATAACACAAATATTTGAAACGGTAAATTCGATTACAGTATTCATTTCATATTTCTCGCAAATTTGTAGACACCTTTATTTAATACGCCCTCTTCCCCACGAACACAAAATAAACGAATTAACTCTATTTTCGTCTAATTATGATTAACACTAAATGGTATATCTGCTATAAGAGCTATATCTATACAGGCATACAACTATATTTACATGTGAAACGGCCACATTTGATATACGCATGAGTTTCCTCGACAATAGTGGCACAAAGTCCCACATGACTGAGCGTGTTCCTAAGATTGAACGCTATTAAATATCTGTTTATTCAAAACACTAAATAAATAATAGTAATTTATACCAACCTAATAGGTCCAGGATATGATTATTCCTTGACCGACCTATTATCCGCAATTCCCGCCAAAACTCTCACGACTGATTGCAATTCCCGCCTAAACTTTTTCGACTGAGTCAGTACAGGACTGAGTCCGTGTACCGTCGCTTGCAGGATGAACGGTCGTTCGTAAAAAAATATTGCCTATTCGCGTGAGAATCTTCGATGTTTGCCAAGAGCACTTGACAGGTTTTGATCTGATTTTAATCTGTTGAAGAACCAGATCCAAGCTTTGAAACCACCAAATGATCATAAATGATCATCAAAAACATTGAATTTTCTCGGTAAAAACATTGAACTTTGTTATGAGAATAGACAATACTTTGTTTAATGCGACCGTTCATCCTTAGTGCATTCAGGAAATGAGTCCGCCTTTTACAAATTGCAGCCCGCGATTTGTAAAACACGGACTCAGTCCGTGTTTTCCCGGTCCAGTCCAGTCCAGTCCGTGTTTTACAAATTCAGTCCGCGATTTGTAAAACACGGACTCAGTCCGCGTTTTCCCGGTCCAGTCCAGTCCAGTCCGGTCCAGTCCAGTCCAGTCCAGTCCGTCTTTTACAACATGCCTTTTACAACTCTATTATTATAGCTTTCACACAAGTTTTGAAATATGTTAAACTTATTAAACTTGTGCTCTTTATCAATGATTTAAGAAAGCAAATTAACCACTAGTCATGCCATTCACCAAAGCAGTAAATTAAGATTTGGCGTTTGAAGTTGACGTTTGGCGTATAAATTTCATGCTTTAACGACTACAAGCCCTCGTAGCAGTTCAAGCATGAAATTTATACGCCAAACGTCAACTTCAAACGCCAAATCTTAATTTACTGCTTTGGTGAATGGCATGACTGGTGGTTAATTTGCTTTCTTAAATCATTGATAAAGAGCACAAGTTTAATAAGTTTAACATATTTCAAAACTGGTGCAAAAGCTATAATAATAGAGTTGTAAAATCAAAAACTTCGCTAGCGGTTTGACGTTTGCCCAATCTCGTTCCCAGAGTATGCCTGTTTGCGGGTTAACCTAACCCGCGAACAGGCATACTCTGGGAACGAGATTGACGTTTGCCGTAAACGTTAGCCTGCGAACAGGCCCTGGGTTGCGGGCGGCGCGAAGAATAGAGGGCCTGCACGGATGATAGGTTTTCTTGGTAGTGGCGTTCGTATAGAAACGCAGGCTTCTGATTGGCTTACACTCGTTGACAAAATTACTAAAAATAGCAAATGTCAACAACAGCATTTTGAAGAATTTGAACTTTATTCATTTTAATATTATATATTATAGGACTATCGAACAAATAAAACTAGAAATGGAAACCAAAAGCAATAGCAAAGCATCACAGCAAAAAGTCTATCATAAATGACTTGAATCTATCGCTTAAATCCAATATACGAAACTATAACAGTATTCTGAACTTCGTCTTCGGATTGACATCAGACCATAGTATAGTACATTTTGAGGTCGTCGTGGCTTCACGGATTATTCTCATTAGTGAGCAAGTCAGCAAGCGAAGGCATACAAAAGATACCCAAATATGTACGAATAATTATATTGTCGATCCTCGCTGGCATGTCATTTAGATAAATATATATCGTACATTAAACGTTGTACTGTTTACTGTATATTAACTGCTGACAATTTCGTCGTCGATACGGCTTCCACTATTGGCACACTCGTGATTTCGAAGAAATTAATAAATACATGCTCATTTATCATTTATTTAGACCACAGTTAGTAAAATTTTAAACGTATTCGGTATTCCAAATCCCAATCTATCTGACCGTATTTTAGTAATAGCTTCAAAATATTCAGAACATTGTTCTTTCAGTCGCACATAGTACAAGTATTACTGTACATTCAAAGCCAATGGTAGTTTATTCGGCTTTATATTTGTATGTGTATTGATATCTATTTAATATTTGAAGAATTCTATATTTTTCCGAGTAATATATTGTGCGGCCCGCTAATGCTTTGTATTATTATTGTTCATGTTGCACAATGTACACGCCTTGCGTCAATTTGACAGTTGACAGTTTATTTATCGCAGTCGACGCTGATTGGTTAGCGTTTAGCAGATGCGAAAAGGGGATGAATGAATAAAACGCATGGTTCCGTGCAGGCTCACCTTTCTCCCAGTGAGCCTGTTCGCAGGCTACGTAAACGTCAATCTTAAGGTCTCTAATATTACTGGGACACGCCAACAGCATTTCTCGGCGTTCTGGACCGATTTGTTGTTTTGGATCCCAAAAGTCACTTATTTCCTCCGTTCTTTTTGACCAATGCATAGAATTGAAACATCGCGAAATCAATTTTGATATGTCGAATAATCTTGCCGATATTGTGGAATAATTCCGAATGATTAATATATATCTGTATCTGTTATCTATTATCTGTATATATCTGAATTGTTACCCATATCAGGCGAAAATCTGCTTATATGTGGATTTCTAAATTGAGCAGTTCTTTATGGCGGCAAGTGTACTAGGTATAGAAAAAAAACTATAGGCATAAGTAATATACTAGGCATAAATAAACCCAGAAGTATTATAACTAAGTATATAGGTTATTTTGATGCAATGAGGGGATATGTGATTCATTATTCGCGCCTAGGTGAATAAACACATATCGCCGAGGTGCCTCAAAATAACGTTCTTATTTTTCACATTGGCGAGGTTGCATTTTAGGAGACATAATAGAAAGAAATTCGTTATGAAAGAGTGAAAGACATTTAATTTATAAAACGAGTCCCAAACACTGATCACTTTGTTTCAGAAAGAAAAAATACAAAGCATGACGATTAGGAGGGGGTTAACACCCCCCATTTATACATACATACATATATATACATACAAAAATTTATTTATGCACGCTGGCCTCAACAACTCAGAGCTGATTTCCATGAGGGGCGTGAATTTAGAAAGAAATACAGATAAACATTGCTAGATTATACAAAAATACAAAAAAAAAGAAAGAAGAATTACTATGTACAGTATAGGCAACAGGACGAGCCAATTTTAAGTGTTTGGCTGGTTAATAGTTCTTTGAAAAGAACGTAAAGATTCCGCTACTTTTACCCCATACGGGAAATTACTCCATACTACCGCTCCGTTATACTTGAAGCATCTTTTACCAGAATCGGTATTCGGTGTAGGAAGAGACAAATCGGTTTCTTTATTTCTAAGATCATAGGTATTATCACATTCATTAATCAATCGAAAGGATGTTCTTAGATTTGGCGCGGTGTGGTTATTCAGAATTTTATACATAAAAACAGATTTTAGATAATGCCTTAATTCTAGGTGTTTCCAACCCAGACATTCGAGTAACTCAACTGACCGAACATCGTAAGTTGCACCAGCAATTACTCTTGCAGCCCGATTTTGAAATTTCTGCAACCTGTCCTTGAGGCCTATTCCACAGTTGTCCCAGAGAGGGCTGCAGTAATCAAAGTAGGGCTGTACAATAGCATTGTAGATCAATTTTAGTGTCGCAGACGATACAAAAGGCCCGAACTTATAGCCCTGAACCCGCACTGACTTTTGAACATATCATATCAATATGTTTTTCCAGGTCAATCTTTCGTCAATGTTGACACCAAGGCAAATATAATTTTCAGTCCTAG